TAATATTATGTATAAAGTTTTTAGAATTCCAGAATTACTTTGAGCCACATGTAAAGAGAGATTGGCGTAATAGCAATTATGTACAGATTAACACTATATTTACATTCTATCAATTGCCTTTTTCTTCTTTACAAAATAAAGGTGGAAAGAACATGGTCGTGGTGAAACAAGATAAAATAAAATTTATTTTCTGTGTTAATATTAATATATTTTTAAACAACCTATATAGCAAACGTATTCTATAAAATCCACGAGCCTTTTTTCTTAAATTAAAACCATTATACTTTACTTGATATGAATTATGAATGCTAAAAAATTTATGGTCTTTATATTTTTGAATATGAACTGTGTTCACACATCTGATAAGAGAATGTGCTGAATCAAGGAAAAATTCCTTTTGTCTGAATGGCAAAATAATAAAATCCGACCTTCTTTCTCGGTTACATGTTTTATATATACTTGTTACGTATGATTAATATTTAACTATTCATGGCGTCAAAATATTTTATGCAAGAGTGTAAATTAATTTTTATAAGCAATGCACACATTTAAATATATGCCACTAATACATACTTGTTATTATACATGACAAAGGAATTATCCAACAAGATAATTATTTCAAATATTCCGATTGGAAGGGTCATAAGAATCATATACAGATAAAAGATGTTTCGGATAATAAAGAAAGTATCCGTGAAACAATTAAATTACCGTATCTCATACTTAAAAGTTTGTAGACACTTTAACGCTAACCGTGTTTTTCCAGCATCGGAAATTATCTAATTATTGGTGTTTGCGTTGTAATGTCAACAATTTATCAAAAGTTATAGGCCACAGCTATTCAAATGGGATTGAAAATTCAATTTTTGTTTATCCAATAAGCTTTAACGATCAATTCAGATTGTAATTGATAAATATATAATTTTTGCATTAATTTTATTAAATGCTGGAAATTATCGTTGCTATCATCAAGAACTTCTGTTTCTATTTGTAAGTTTAGAACAAAGTTATTGTTTTAACAAATAAGAAATCATGCCAATGACGATATCACTGTCATAAATCATATTCTAATCATAGAATAAAGACAAATGATGATCGGATCGTATTAAAATTTTAGAGTCTGAATATGATGAGTCTAATTTAGCGACGAGGACGACGAAAATGGATCGCATTGGATAGTTGTTGATGAGAAAAATATTTATTCGAACGAATGTTGTTATCTTGGTTCTAGATATAGTAACAGAAATAATTTTTTATAATTTTTTGAATTTTTATTTCTCGTGAGAACATTCCCGTATTTCTTTGAGGTCTTGTATTTTTTCCGGTATTTTACCTGAATAATGATAATTTAAGTATTCTATTCATTATGAATAATAAAACCCCCAGAGACATGAATGAATAAACGAAAAAAGGTAAATATGATCTTAAAAAAACTCAATTGGCGTTGTACTAATTAAACAAAATTCAGTATAAATATTCGTATGATATAATAATTATCTATCATGATATTTATTAATAATAATGATATCAATAAAGAAATCAAATATTTTGTTTACATTTATTATTCTTCTGTTGGCATTAACACCAACACTTCAAATGCCTCAATCATCATGCACTGTTCAATGCCCTAGTGGATGTTGTCTTGAAAGTTTTACATGTTGCGGGAATGATTGGTGTTGTCCAACTAATACTGAATGTTGTGGATTTAGAAAATGCTGTCCTGTTAGCGTAATTCCTAATATCCCAAAACCATCTTGTAAAAAATGTCTTGTGGGTAAGAACATTGGCAAATGTTGTAAATATGGTTATTGTTGTAATCGAGGAAGCGGGTGTTGTGGAAACGTATAAATGCTATCTCGAAGAATTAGGCTTTTTGTATTGAATAAAAATTATATTTTTATGTATTTTATATTTATTTTATCTTTTATGTATTTTTATGTATTTTATATTTATTTTATCTTTTATGTATTTTTATGTATTTTATATGTATTTTATATTTATTTTATCTACTGTGAATAAATTTGATGACGGTAATGTTATACGTCATTTTTATTATTATATACATTCTTTACCTGCTAACTATATACGATTTGGTAAGGAGAGTAAGAGCTCTTATACTAACAAGAGTAAAAATGTATTTTTCTTTCAATAAATAGTTTTTCTTGAGGCTTTTATTTTTTAGTTTGATTCATATTAAAAAATCGATAGTCAAATCTGAGTGAAAACTAAAGAATTAGAACATAAATATTTATCTGATGATAAAGAATCTTGTTATGCGACAAAACTGAATATTATTATTATTTTGTTACCATTTTGTTAATTTCATATTAAGAAAGAGAAAAAAAGTATTTAGGGTTAAACAATTGATCAGATGATGAACAATCTTGTCACGCGACAAAACAGAAAACATTATTATAAAAGAGGATCCAGGGTTGAACGATTGATCTGACGATGAACAATATTGTCATGCAACAAAACAAAATATTATTATTATTATTATTTTGTTATTGTCACATCAACATTAGTTGAACAATTGATCTAATGGTGAGCAATCTTGTAAATCTGAATCAGTCGAACTTTGTTACTTTTTGGAGTTTCATCTTCAGATGCGTTCATTTAGAAGGAATTTTGATTGGCTTTCCAAAACATTGTCATCTGATACTTTATTATACTTTGCTCCTAACTTAGTCAACTATATATACTTTTGTACTTTAAAATGATTTTTTTTATTTCGCGTTATGAAACTAATGTCAAAGAACATATTCACGTATTTTTTTTCAAGAATATCAAAAAAAAAGTGTTTACCCTTGGGGATGTAAAGATGTGTGAAATTGAAAGTTGTTGAGAAAGTATAAACAATAGAAATCTTACTGCAGGCTGGTTTGCATGTTCCCTTTCTAAAATATATAGAAAAAATTAAATTAATGATTTAAAACAATGAAAAGAATGAAATCGTCGCATATAATAATAATAACTAATTCGATTGTCACAATGATTCTTTTTGATTTCGTTTAACCATTAACCTTTGGAAAAAGAAATCATGTAAATACCTTTTTAATTTAATCATTACCTGTCACATTTTTAAATATACGTATATATAAAAATATTAATTAAAAATATAAAAATAGATACAAAAGTAAATATTGAAAAAAAAACATACTACCATATACTTGGGTATAACAACTTGATAGCTTGATTGACATAGTGGTGTGGTATTGCAATTTTTTTATTGTATGTTTTAAATATAATTAATTATATATCCTTAATAAAACAAACATGACTTAGATATTTAATTATTTCCTTGTATGTGAATACCTCCATTCATCAAATATTCATGATAGTCATGATTATTATTCAATACATTTGATATCATCATTGACATAACAAACAATTGCATCACCCAAGTAATGATAAGCCAAGGCCATGCATGAATGAAACTTTTAATAATGTGTGTCTATCCAGATCTCTGGGATTCCTGATTATCAATTATGGTTCCTTATGAACAATAAATCTGATGTTATTGCAGGTGTCAGATTTAATAAAAATTTCCTATCACAAACATGCAAGCGAATGCAATTGCAAACCCTAGCACCATGGAATTGTTTCCACGAGTACGGGCAAATTTGAACATGTACAAATTTGTACAAATTGTGAAAAATTATTCAATTCAACGGAATACGATTCATTTGAAAAACAAATTTTATTGGAAATTCTTAAAAGGGATGATTTATTTGTCGACGAAATAGAAAACTGGGAAAACATTCTTAAATGGGGATTGGCAAAACATCCAGGTGTTAATAACAATGTTGACTGTTGGTCGATTCAAAATTTCACTCATTTAGGAAACACTTTAAAAGAATTCGTTTATTTAATTCGATTCAAGGATATTTCTAATAGAGATTTCTTCAACAAAGTTGTGCCATACCAATTGCTTTTCCCAAAGGAATTATGGTTAAAAATTTTAAATTATTATATTGTTCCCGAAGATCAACCATCTTTAAATTTATCATCATCCAGAATTTCAAAAATTGAACAATTCATTATCAATCAAAACATTGCATTGCTTTTTGCAAGCTGGATTGATAGAAAAAGCACAACAACATATACTTCATTGACTGATATCAAATATAAATTTAAGCTTTTATATAGTAGCAGTAGAGATGGTTTAAATGCAACAGTATTTCATCAAAAATGTGATGACATCAACAAAACTCTTGTGATTGCTAAAATACGAAGCACAGAACAAATCATTGGTGGTTATAATCCGCTTAGTTGGAGTGGAAATCAACATAAAAGTACAAATAAAAGTTTTATCTTTCATATTAGTAATAGAAATGACGCTAACTCTACAAAATATTATAGTTATGTAATTAGTAATAATCAATCTGGTATCTATTGTACTCCCAGTTATTTACCTACTTTTGGTAACGGTCATGATATTCAATTTAATGAAAATGACACTGTTAACTGTGCTCCAACTGCTTATAATACTATTAATATAGCAAATGGTAGTGCGTATGAAGAATTAGAAGTTTATCGATTAATTAAATATTAATCGTTACTTTTATTTTATATATTAATTTTTTCAATTAAAATAAAAAATTTGAAATTTTACATAAACTAACAAATACGCGTGTACCAAGTTTATAATTGATTGAGACATACATTTTACCATAAAGTCCCAAAAGACAGTGTCACATGACGATTGACAAGAAAAATTACATTTCGTACATTTTCCTGTGCATTTTCCGTGCTCAACATCCACTGAAAACGTACGGAATGTATTTTCAGGTCATTTTCAGAACAAAAATGTACAGAAAAGCGTTCATTTCATGTATTAGTCGTAAACTGCATTTTTTTAAGCCGGTCCTTTTGTGATTCGGCTTATATTACGTATTATTAAAATTTTAATGGAGTGACTTCTAGCAAAAATGTGGCCAACATAACAAGTTGTAATTTTTTAATATAACAGATGATGGGATTATAGCTTCAAAATGATCCTAAGATCGTTGAGATATTCCCAAAATTGACTTAATGTGAATTTTTTTATATACTACTAATACAAAGAATTTAATAAATTTAATAAAATCTATATATATTTCTTTAAAGGTGATCTATAAATTTCTATAAAACGTTAGATCAAAAAAATTTCTTTTTACCTGTTGATGATGCACAATCATCAACATCTTCATTACATGATTCAACATCTGCTTTAATACCAGCTTCAGATTTTTCAGGTGATGATGATGATTCTGAATCGATTAACGATGATACATTGTTAAGCATCTATTTTTTAGGGATAGTTTGGTAAGAACTTAAACCAGCAAGTAAACGGTACCCGCCATATACCATAATTTCATTAAAAGGAACACCTAATTTTGTTAATTGAATTATATCAGTTGTTTTCATGGAACGATTTACTACGTGTCGCTTACCAATATTAATGCCACAATCTTCACATATTTTTTCAATTAAAGTATCAAGTGAATTTTTTCCTGGGTTTATACCTGAAAACCACTTGCCTTTTTCAATATTAGTTTTATTTTCTATTCTTTAAAAAAAAATTAGATATTTACAATGATCTGGTCTTCTGTTTCTATAATATATGATGTCATGTACAGGTCGAAATTTACTGTTAGTGTCAGCTGGTATTTCACAAACCCGACCATCATTATCCATACCATCAAGACCACCAGCATAATTTTTTTCACTAGGAAGCGACACAGTTACACTCTTATCATCATTCAATGTTATCCAAGAACCTTTAAGTCTCCTCCACGAAAATTACATAGATATGAAAGGCAAAAGGCCACTTTTTTTTTGTGAGGGAGAGGGATTTAACAATGAACATTCTAAAATATGTAATTATAATATTTCATGGTTTTATAGTGCATCGTATTTTGTTCTTCCAACATTATTGGTATCTTGAATTTGTTTGATCTTGCCCGACAGTGTCTGCCAATAAATTTGGATATTTGTTTTTATCAAATAAATTTTCTGCAAAGTTTGATATATCTTGTTGAAATCCTCATACAATCGCACAAAAACCAACATATAATGAACGCGGCTTATAAAATCTCCATCTTTTTTCCTAACACCAACGAAAATTTACGTAATTCAATTTCTAATCGTTCTTCATTTGCTATATCTTTAACATCACCATCGAAACTGGTTTCCTGACGAAATTGTTAAATAATTTATACCAATTTTGTGTTGAAAGCTCTGCATTTACCACCTTTGAGTATGAAATTATATCATTCAATTCTTGGTCTGTAGGAATATAAAACTGCTGTTGGTACTAATTTCATCAGTTTCAAGAGAATTTGTTTTATCAAATAAATTAACAAAAACCATTTCCGCGTTTTCACTAGCAGACCAATCTGACATTGACTCAACAGCTAAGAAATTCATAATAAAAAGTAGAAAGAATAGTAGTAGCTAAAAATAATGAATTTTTCAGTATTATTATTTATTATTCATAAATTGCCTTGAAGTGAAAAAGGTAATTAATAAAGGTTGAAAACATTAAAAAATCATGTCAGGTGGTACGTGTAAAACATGCAATTACTAATACTGATTTATATATGTGTAATTTTATAAACAGCTGTTTGCTTACAAGGATATCATATTACTTGGATCAATTAGAAGAAAATGATACTATGTTAATCAGCTGAATAAATCATTTAATCAATATATGATGAACCTTTACAACATTCAAGTTCTTTCCTATGGTCTCAAACAGTAAGAAGTATTTAAATTATAGTTATTTACCATAATTGTCTTTGGAAGAAAAGTGATTATGGCAATAATTATGGATTCTTAATATTCTTTATATAAATGAACATAAAATAACTATATATTACATGCATTTGATTAAAAAGTTCAAATAAAAGGGTACCTGTCACAATTAAAAAACCTAGCTGCAATCATTATCAAAAATTGTAGCTGGATATTACAAAATGGAATGGAATATATAGAATAAAAAAAAGCGTGAATTTTGATATTTTATATTATGACATTATGAATATTTCTGATGAGCTTAGAAAATTTGCTGATGTGCCTAAAAAATAGAAAATGGTAATATATATTTATCAAGTTTGGTTTTTATATTTTGAAATCACGTTCACACATCAATTACTTGACAGACCTATTCAAAATTAAAGTATTTTTCAATCTATATTTTTGTTATGTAAATTTATTTCTTTGATTATTTAGCAAAATAACTATTTTATTATATTGCATAATCTCAATGCGTTTTTTTTTTAAAGTTATCTTATTGCTTAATTATAATATTTAATATACAAGAAAAAAATTTAATCGCAAGTTTAAAAAAAAACACAGGAACAAATAAATACATAAAAATTAAAAATTAAAAATTAAAAATTAATTACACATAAAACTCTTTATACAAGAAAAAAAAAAGTACGATAAAATTGATATCATACTTTTTATCCATTATTAATTATTATTTTGCGGATAATGCATATGCTGTAATTTAGATAATTGTCATTTTTTAATAACTTGAAAAACTTCATATTCTATCACCCAGAATTTATTTAAAGTGGTGATTTTCTCTTGGTAATCATCTTTATCAGAAGAACAATTCTCGTATCCGTTGAAATTATTTTTCATCCAAAGATCTTTATCACCAAAACAAGGACCATGGGATTTATCTTTAATTCTAATAGCGTAGTTGTATCTTACAACTCTACTCACTTTACCATCAGCCAAGTTACCTTGCCTAGGAAATGAAAAGAGAAAACTATTTTGTGTTGATAATCTACCATCACCAATTGACCATTCCAATGGATTATATCCACCAATCAATTCACCAGAATATGCAATTTGCATCACAACAATTGTTGGACCTTTGTGATCACATTTCTCATGAAATATCTCACTATCAAAACTATCCCTTGATCCCCTAACCAACAAGTTGAATTTGTATGGTATTTCATCATATTTATAATTTTTACCATCTTTACGATCTATCCAATCGACCAGTCTTGAAACTTGTTCAGTCTTTAAAAGAGTTGAATCAAACTTGAGGAACCTTGGTGGTAGGATTTTTGTACTGGTGATAAGATTAGATATTGAGGCGATGGAAAGATTTGATAAACTGGTACGTTTAAAATGAAATTTTAAAATATCATTATATAAAATTTTTGGTAATATTTGACTAAATGGTAAAATTTTGTCGTAAAAGTCACTTGCAGAAATGTGAAAAAATCTTATCAATGGTATACAATTATGTAAAATATTTTCCAATTCCGTAAATTCTTCTTTGCCCCAACTAGAAATCTCGATCTGTTTATCTTCTACAATTATTTTATCTTGTTCATTTACTACAACTGCATCCTGATTTTTTCCGACATTTTCATTATAATTATTGTCATCATCAGATTTTAATGATGAGAGATTAGCAACAGATGATGGTGATGATGATGATGATGATGCCATTTGTGAAATACCCCATTTAATCAAATAATTCCAAATTTCTAATTCTGGGATTTGTAAATTATCTCTTTCCAATAAAGGAATTAATAAAGTTTCATCAAATGAATAAAATTCTTTGGAATTAAAAAGTGTAAAAGGATCGTTACATATGATTTCCAAACAAAAATTCTTTAATCTACTGCAATTTTCGTTGGAATGGACTAAACGATGAACATGAACGACATTTCTTTTTAACCAATCACTTTTGAAGTCCAACAAATAACGTTGTACATGATCAAACAATTCATCTAATAATAATTCATCGGCTGTAATAAGTAATTCAAGTATATCCATATTATCTTGTCTATTTAAATCAACCTTTCCGCTATAAATATATCTATGAATTTTATAAAAGTTAAAATGACAATGATGATAATGATAAATCAACTAAAAAAAAGTTGAATTTTTTACCCAAGAATAAGATCAAATACAACAGGAGTGGTGTTAGGTTTAATGAAAACAATCGAGTTCCCTTCTTTTCTTGCCCATTCACTACTTAAAGCCGTATGAAAATAAGGCGATCTTGTTCTTAGAACAACAGAATGAGCATAGAAAGTCTTTTCATTATGTTCATCTCCTGCTCTAATAACAACGTTGTAATCGTCTGAATTTTCAAGAAGTCTAAGAAAATCTTTGGAAAGATTTTGAAAAAATTCAGTCATGATGATGATTATAAATTATGATTATTACTATTATTAATTTAATTTGTCCGATCAAATAGTAAATATTGTCGTTGTTGAAGGTAGTGTTGTTTTAGTATTAGTTGAAACAGGTGAGATTTTTTGCTGAAAAAATTTTGAACGATAGAATTGGTCGAATTTCGAGGAAAATACTGTTACTATATATATAGATCAAAGATTATTTATTTAATGCCAATTGTGCAACAATATAAATAAATCTGCAACATTACAAATAATTGATACATTAATATTTAACTATGCAGCTTTGTACACATGTAAACTCGACAAGTCGTCATTTATTTATATTATAAAGTACTTTAAACAATCGATTGCTGCGTCCGACTACATGTGTGTACAGTTGTCATCTTCTCAATATCCTTTATTAGTAACATTAGTGATGTCATGTGATCCACAGTTAATGTCATAATGAAATATTTTTATTCAAGGTTCCTTTCATCTTGAATACTATTTTAATTTAATTTACACGGAAAACAAGCCTTTAATAAAAAAATTGTAAATATCTAAATATCTACAAATATTGAATATGTTTCATTCTAATTTTAAAAAAAATTTTTGAATAGAACAAAAAAGTAGATTCCTCTCTAATTTTTTTATCTTTCCAAATTTCAATCGAATAAGTTTCTTCGTTGTAAACAAAATCTTTATATATTTCTCCTAACAATTGAATAATGGATTCAAAAAGAATTAAATTTAATTACTTGCAGAATAAAATAATTACATATAATCTCAAGTAGTAGTAATAATAATAATAATAATAATCATCATACATATTTTAAAAATGGTAATAATGTTATATGAATTTAATATTATGAGTGAAATATGAATGTCTTTGGCAATTTTCTTTCACAATCTTATCTTTGCTTTATTGTATAATACATTTCTTCTTCTTCTTGTTATTGGTCGAACTACTAGAAGAAGAAGACGGTGATGGTGGTGATGATGAATATGTTTGACGATTTATCTGACGAACCAAATCATAGAAAACCTCATCAACATTTATTCCAAGTCTTGCAGAAGTTTTATAGAAGGCTATATCACCCCAATTTTGAGATAGTGCAACAGCTTGCTGATTTGAAGTTACCCCTTCATTTACAAGATCGCATTTGTTAGCAACAAGCACCATAGGAACCTGATAGAATTTATAATATGATATATATGATGTGATGTAATATAAATATATTTATAATTATAAAATTGAGTAATATACAATATACACATATATATATATATATATTATATATACATATGTTATATCGTATTCCGCATGAAGAAGAAGTGAAGAGAAGATAAAGTAGATTTTATATTCTCTAGTAAATTATTTTGAAATCAATTTATATAATATAAATAATAATTATGATGATAATAATGTTGATAATTATAATAATAATAATTATATAATAGATAATTACCGTGGTAGAATTCTTCACTCTAATTATTTGTTCTCTTATTTCCACCAAATCATGAATTGTTGATTGATCAACGATTGAAAACATTAGAATAAATCCATGTCCATTTTTCAGATATAAATCTCTCATTGCAGTAAATTGTTCAGTTCCTGCCGTATCCAATATTTCCAACATACATATTCGATTATCAATTTCTACTTTTTTACTATATGAATCTTCGATTGTAGGGTCATATCTTTCTACAAACATTGATCGAACAAATTTAACTGTCTGAAAATTTCATTAATGATTTTTGGAAGTTGGTAAAAAAATATGAAATGAAATATTAAATTAATTGATTGATTGATTGATTGATTGATTAAATAAAATAATTGTAATGTTTGAGTAACTTACAAAGGCAGATTTCCCTACACCTCCTGAGCCTAAAACAACTAGTTTATAATCCTTCATTTTTATTTTATCAAACAAATTGCACAAGAAATTTATTTATTAATTACGTAGAGATGAGTTGAAGTGAATGATGATGAGTTGAAGTGAAATGAGTTTGGGTATTGGTTAGTAGTAATGAGCGAAGCGAGTGAAATATATTTTTATTAAATGAAAGTTGGGAAGGAAATTATTTACTAAAAAAATTTTTATTATTCAAATAAATAAGGAACAATTCAATGTTACACACACGTGAATCGGGCCACTTTGTTCGACTGATAAAAGCTTGTGAATGATCAACATTAAAAAAACGCGTAAAGAAAGTCTGTCATAAATTAATTTTCTTTCGAATATCAATTTTTTTAATGCTTTAATTCCATTCATTAAATGTTGTATTTGACAATTAATTTATTTATTTTCAAACCTATTTTCAACATCCTCGATCCAACTTTAAGGTCATTCTTGAGACCATTTTCTAAGACTATTTCAATTTTCCACATATCCATTCCACTTCCTTGGACATGTCAACATAATTCTCAAGACCACCAGAAATGAAAGTAGAAATTCAGGATACCACCATCAACCTCTTGGATGTTTTATTGTTTTCAATAAACAAATTACAAGTAATACAATTACTTGGAAATAAAATCAATCGTAGTAGATGTTGGAGCATTTGGATCTTGGCCATTACGAGATATCCTCATCTAGCAATATTAATGTTATATAGTTTTGGGTGTATCTCTCTTGTGAATTTATTTAAGCAATGTAATTGAAGACAATAAGCATTCTTGGCTCATGAAGCAAAGATTATAACTGATATTGAATTATTCTTTGCTTTCTAATCAACATGTTGTTGGAAAAAAATACATTATAACAATTTATTATCCTGCACGGAAATTATTATGGTCGTAATTATTGTTACACGTGCCATTAATTCAATGTTACACGTATGCTTTTAATTACGTTGGATAATTTTGACAATTTGTAGAAAATATACATTGAGGTATTGAAGATGCAATCATGTTGGTGTATCATCAGGTTGTTGAACAATTGACTATAATAAACAAATATCACATCTAGTAGGTTGATGCTTGGCTTTGTTTCAGTAATATATAAAATGATTATAAGCAATATTAAAAATGAAAACTTTTCTGCAACTCCCAAAGTTATTGCAAAAAATATATTTCAGTGACGTGAATTTTAAATCTAATGAAAATAATCAACCAGCTAGATGGTCATTTTCCATACTATAACCATAAAGTTGAAATGATAATTAATACAAATCTATCAAATGACAATAATAACATTACTATCGTGGCTATTTATTTTACTACAGGATAAGTTAAAGCAACTTAACAAAAGTAACTCAAAAGAGTAATATATTTTGAATTCCATTCAAATTTAATCGATGAATTGCCATCTACTTCTTCAAAAGTTTGGTTACCAAAATAGTAATTGTAATGAATGACAAATCATTATATAAAGAGCCAAATTCCAAAGTTTTGCAAGATCTGTATAATTCCCAATAAATAAATAAATTTTTTAATTACAAGATGTCAATCATTTTCTCAAATGTTGATCCAATAGAACATCCCATTGTTGTTTGTTGAAAGATCAAAATAAAAAATAAACAAATCAAAGGCTTATTATTTATTATTATTTTGTAATACGAAACACAGTTATAAATCAAATCATCACAATACGCGTTCTTTAAATTTAATTTTCCATTTATATAATAATAATTAATTTTCCTTTGTGGTATATTATTATCATTAATATCTAAAAAAATTAATGTATTTATTAGTATTACTATAATTTATCCTTTTCATATTGTAAAGAATGAATGCAATTGTTTCGTTGGTACATTTTTGTGAGGTTGATGGTCCAAGTGTAATATTTTGTACACAAGCTTTCCATGAAAATGCAATAGAAGAGACGGCAACAGAGGATTTTCTCAATATTAGTAGACGACCTTCACTAATCACATCTTTACGAGATTTAAATAGCAATTCTAATTCTAGTAATAATAATACTCTTACTGTTAATTCCAATGCAAGTAACACTATTACACCTAAAGAAAGTAACAATCAAAATGGCAACACTATTAACAATCCTAATAGTGTTAACAATAATGGTTTACAAATGAGTAGAAAAGAGTCAACTAATGTTGGTGAAAGGCCACCAGTACAAGCTTCTTCTTGCTCTTCTTGTGCATTTCCTTTATTTTCCATTGATCAATCAAGAGATCAAAAAGAAACTATGACGGGAAAAGGAATCGATGAAGTAAAAGGTGTGGAAGGTGGTGAGAAAAGTGACCCGAAAATAAGATTCAACAATAATTGTGAATCAATTAAAGGTTTTAAAACTAAAGATGACGAAAATCCATTGGTCACGTATATTGGATCCAGATATCCACAACATCCTAGGCTTTACTCTGCATTAAGGCAAGCTTGTGTTAGAAGGTATGAATCAATTGATGACATTACTTATTTACACACGCACACACACATGTATGTTATTTATTTTTCTTTTAAAAAAAATCTTAAAATGATTTTTGATACTACTAGTTTAAGTTGTGAATATTGTCAAGGAAGAGAAGGACCTGTGTTGTTTGGAGATGATAAAAATGGATACGTGCTAAGTTATATGTTTAAAATCAAAGATACTCAAGCAAGAGGATCTAATCGGTGGTATAGCTTTATATGCTTAATGACTGATCGTATTTATTTAGTTACATCTTGGCCATTTTTAGTTAGGTAGGAAAATATTTTTAAATATATACTAATAAATTAATAAATTACTAATTATTAATTATTTGATTATTTGGTTATTTAGCAAGTTCCAATCATTAGCAACAAATCTTCAATCCAAGGCAAATCAAATATTTGAAAAAGAAAATATTGTTAAAGAGAGTCTTGAAGATCCAAATAATATTCACAATGTTAATAATACCATTAATATCACAAATAGTAACAGTAATAGGAGTAGCACGTTTTCTTCTTCAAGATCTGGAGGAGCTGCTCTTCCTCCTATTTCTCCAGGTTTGGATTTTTCTTTTTGAAAAAAAAAACATAATATATATTTAATAATAATTTTTTAAAAAATTATTTTTTGTGACTTATTTTAATAATTATTAAAAGATCAATTTCTTAGACGTAGGGCAAATCAAGCTTTAAGATCATTGATAGAATTATTAAAAACCAAGGTAAAAATAACATGAAAAAATAGAAAATATTTTTTAACCGTGGCAATATTAATATGAATAATTTTATGGATGGTATGGTAACTGTGAAAAAAAAGGACTTATTTGTACAAATGCATGCAGAATTTAGTTGGATATTAAAGGCATGTGGTAGAACATTACAAGAAAAGCAAGTCAATGATCAAACATTGGTAAATTTTTTATTATAATAATTATAATTAAATTTTATTTATTTTTATATTCATATTTAATATGTTATTAATAATATTTTATCAAATACATATATATTAATAACCTTAGTTTCCTAATTCATGCATATTTTCACCAAAAACAATAAAAATTCTTGCCCCTTCTAACATTTATAATGATTATTATGATGCTGCTGATGATGTTTATAGCAACAACAATAATAATAAAGAATTAAGAGAATTAGGGATTGACATTAAATTAGATGATATAAAAGATCTCTATAATGCCATGGGTAGCATGAAATTTATAGAGTTGATGACGAATTTTCTTAACGGAAATCAATTAATCTTTCACATCCCACCTTCACCGCCACCTTCATCAACTCCAGAACAAGAACAACAACAATCATTATCTACTTTAATTCATAAAATCATAAAGTCTATAATAATTATTTTACAGGTAACTACTTATTCAATGATGGAAACTTTATTAAAAAATTCTTTTTGTCAATTTATTATTTATTAATTTTAAAACTTATATATAGGATTTTGTTCCTAATAATTGTTGTTCAGTGATGGAAAATCAAAATGTTTATCAACCTTTGTCAAAATGTAATATTTTGGTATTGAATGAGAAAATACAAATGCCAAATAATGTTGATAAATCGACAATTTGTGTAATAAATATCCTTTTTGAGAATATTCATCTATTTATAACATTTATCATTTTTGTTGCAATTATTAATTCTTAATAATCGTATTAATCATTGGCTTCTAACCAAAACATGTTTCTTTAGCTCACAATACTAATAACATTAAAGAAGATATAACCACCACCACCAACATTAACAGCAACAACAATAATAACACCACTAATAACCAAAATACTGGAACTGCAAAATCAAAAACAACGATATACTTTGATTTGCAATATGAAATTAAGGGCAATAATAAACTAAGTTATAATCATAATCATAACGTTGGTGATAAAAATCAACTGCCTAAAAATTCATTTATAAATCAATTAATGACGATTTTGGATTCTAAAATATCTAATGAATTGATTAATATGAGTATTACAATATTTAAAGAGAAATGGTTAAGGTAAATCAAGAAAGCTTTTTTTTTTTTTTTTTTTTAAAGAAAAAATAATAAAAACAAACCTTTTTTTCGGGGGTGAAATAGTAAAGTAAAACAATTTACTAGATTTATTAAACAAAGCAACATCAATGCAAATAGTGACGAGTCTATAAAAACATCACCAACAAATACTAAATCCTCAACTAAAACTAAAACTAAAGCTACGCTTTATAATGGGACAATTGATTATAATATTCATTCTTCTGAAAAATTAAAAGAATTCTTAAAAGTTTTAGACATTAATGAAAATGATTTATATATTGTGAAATTTTGGATAGGTTATTACCATAATCAAAAATCACAATAGTGAATAATTATATTTTTATTTTATTTTTTAATAGATTTTGTTTTTTTTTTTTTTTTTTTAAATAGACTTTATTCCATAGAATAAATTCGAATATAATAATAAGCATTTGCATCGGTTACATTAACTAAAAAAATCTGGTATTTTTTAAAGTTGGGAGGATCCATTATTTTGGCCAGAACAAGTTATTTATAGTAATATTTTCATTTATTGATCAGCTGCAAAACTTCAAGAGAAAGTGTCTAATCATGTGTTTTTTAATTCTGATCTTATTATATTGTATTATATTTTTATTTTTATTTTTATTTTTATTTAGAATCGATTATATTAATTTAGCTTGTGTTCCAACATTTTTATTAAGCGAATTATATATACAAAATGATACCAAATAATTCATGGAAAAAAAAAAGAATAACAAAAATACTTCCCATAAAAGTAATTGATTCAACTGATAGATAAACTTGAAGCAAGCGATCTGCGCAATCTTTCCATTCCATCATCAAATTCATCAATAAAATATTCTACCTCATCTCCATTTCGATAACTATAATCACTTCTAATATTACCATCATCACTAGCATTATTGTTGTTTTCTGAGGCAGATCTTGTCGATGAAATCTTATCAATCCTGGTGTAATTTGAAGTTCTAAATATGGAATTGTAACGACTGAAAAATTCTTCCTTTGATTGAAATCTATTGGTGTTTCTGATTGCAATATCACATAGCATTGAATGAACAATCCATGGAAATGACATCAAATTCTCTTCACCATCTTTATCTATTTCAGCAGGATGGTATGTAACATAATACCAAGCAAATGCTTTCGCCTCCATTCTATTGCGAGCATCTGGTGATGGTAAATTTGTACCTTCTCCATAAAACTCTTCTTCAAATACCTTACGGTATTGCTTTTGAATTGCTGCTACTGCATCCATCACTGATTTTTTTACTTCACGTGGCTTTTTCTGTTCGACCTTGATTGTAGGATTGACAATGAAACCACTGACTGTCTCGTACTCGGACATCACTCCAAACTGATTTATTAGACTACGTATGTCTGAAGTGTATGAACGTTTGTTGAATCTTGCATCTTCTAAATACTCTTCAAACCCTGGAACATATAACCTTTCATCAAAAGTAATGTTTGTATAAGGATCAAATGGTTCTACTTCAATGGAGCGATACAATTTACCAAGAATTTTTTCTGATTCATAGACTGGTTTGTCAGGTTTCTCCATAAAATCAGGATACTTGGATGGACGAAGTTCGACTGGAAATTCAGCTGGTATACCTGTTTTTGGAAAATCAACAGCCTCAGAATGTAATTGTGCCAACCTTATACATTGTCCATGAAATGCTCCACCACTCAAATAATCCGCTTTTGCTAAATGGGAATTGGCTATGCTGCCTAATTGATCAGAGAGAATATAATTCACAAAAAATTTCTTTATATGCACCATCTTAACTTCATCTACTATTGCAGCTTTTGGTGCTTCATAGTTCATTGGTTCCCAATTTTTGGTTTTTGGGATTAAATTTTCATCCCAAAAGATTCTTTAACATTTATTAGGTAGGTATATGTATATAATATATTAATAATAATTATGTATGTTAAATAAATGGTTTTATGCCACAAATTAATTAAAGCAACTAAATTACATACGTGAAATCATCTCCATCTAGATCTCCGCCACTACATTGACTAGGAAGATCACGATATCCCAATGTTGGAAATACTAAAACATCTACAAGATAATCGAGAGCTTTAACTTTAACAGCAGTAACAACTCTGATATCACCTGGATGAAAACATGGATTTCTAAATACTACACAAGTGCCTGTAATTACTTTTCTAGAAGCTGGATTTTGCGGATCAGATATACAACAATAAACTTCATCTTCCTTCAAGGATTCTGTTTCATCTAAAACACCCAACAGGTAGGTACCCATTGATACCCGAATCTTTGCTTTTTGCTTTAAGTCTCGCAACATTGTAATGCGGAATAAAGAAATCAAATTTACTAAATAAGGATCTTTGCGATCCAGAAAACCTGCTTTAACCATGTCAGCCATTATTCTTGATACTCCATACTCGTCAATATTTGCCATTAAAACACTGATGGCTGTATTATCATTCTTTAGCATTTTGTCCAACTCATTAACCATATTGTCTTTCAACTCAACGAAAACTTCATCAGCAACACCCAGTGTAGATAAAAGCGTTATTGCTTGTCGATTAAGATAGGCTGTGATGTTACAAGATCCTCTAATAATTTCCAAGACATTGTGTGATGATTCGAATTTATTTTGACTTGGTCTAACATGAATTTGATTTCCACGGAGGTAACGTGACTGGCATAAAACTCCTTTGTATCCTGCAAGACGAAATTGAAAAGCTGACGGTACACTTTTCAACTCCAAAATTTCAGCAATTTTTGTAGACAAATTATAAGATATTTTACCAACACCATCCGAAAATGTGAACCCATTCCTAACAATATCGGGAATTTCTCTTATATCATTAACAGGTAGGTTTACAACAGGGCGAGTACTCGAAAAACATTGTCCCATTCTTGCAGCATATTTTGCCACATTTTTAATATTTTTGAAATCACCCATCCACTCTCTAATGTCATCAGCAATTAGGTCCGACGTTGGCGCAAAAAACCAACAAGAATGCTCTCTTAATTGACTTGAGGAAAATGCTAGAAATTCATAATGTCTATCACCAATATTTATACCATTAACAAGTGTAAGGTAAACCCTGTTGTATAATGCATCATTATTTGTGCCTGAACTTGGCCTGATTTTACCGCCAGCCTCGTCTATGAATTGTACACGTAAAAAATTGTCTTTTACATCATGAAAATGTCTAATTACACGATTTGATGTTTCCATTGTAGGCAATAGAAAATACATTGTAGTTGGTGTGATAACAACTTTACGCATTAATACGCAATGTTGAGGTATTTGCTTTGCTCTTCTTTCAATATTTTTTTGCTTTTTGATTTCTTCTTGTAGATAGGCTAGAGGATCGTATATTCGTTTTTTGCGTCCAGAAATTGATTCCAAAATATATTTTGCAGTCTCACGCGGTAAAGAATTTAATAATTTAAGAAACTCAATAGTTAAGTTGTATTCGTTTATATAATTATGAGATATGACACTATATAACAAGTATAAAACATCAAATTCTAACATTGAATAATTTGTAATTTTTCTTAAAAGTCTAGTAGTATTATCAATTACTATTAAATTTTTACTGAATTGTCCACTTGTGAGATTAAAATTGATCATTTTTGTTAACATTTCTCTAAAACGTCTAATACCACCTATAATCTGACAAATATTAAAGGTTACCCTATAAACAACCCATTTACCAGAAGAATCACTACCATTAGGCATATTTAATTGTAGTGGTAATTCTTTTTCTTCGGCAGTTTTAGATGTAGTTCTAATTTCTGTTTTCCTTAACCACGAATCTTCAAGACACCAATAAAATTTATTTTTTAATCTGGATGATTTATCTAACAACCAAAGCTTTGCTGGATATTTACTTGTTATTGTCAAAATGGCTTGTGAATCATCATAAAAATCAATAAGTTCAGCATATATATTGCTTTCTATATTTTTAAATTCTATTTCTATTCTAAAAGTATGTAGTTGTTGCAAACCAAATATAATTTTAATTACCCTATAATTATAATCAATACTAAAATGAACCCTTTCACTGGATTTCCATTCAGATACATAAGTATCTTTATTCAATAGAACCCCCAATTCGACGCTTGCCGCGTCATAAGAATTCTTTGAGGATGGTGATTTCGATTGTATTTGATTTTTATTGGTTTTTGTGTTTTCAATATAATCACCACCTGTAGCAATATTATAGTTGTTAATATTATTATTGTTGTTCATCCATTCTATATTTAAAGGTCTACCATGAAAACGAACAGGCTGATTCCAGAATTGATTTTCAGGAGGAGGTCTTTGAAGAAAAAAATATAGCATTGATTGATTTATGTAATTCGAATAGATTGAACATACACAAGTATATAGATGGATTTATAAGATGATTAACTGAAATTTAAATATATCAGATAATCTAATTTTTTAATTTTCACTACTTGCCTGTATGTTATAAAAACATATCCATTAGGGCGTTCAACACCGTCATAATCTTTTGTGTCCAATCGAATTCTATAAATGTTACCATGAGATGAAAAGAATTCTTTTAGCTCTGAAAGCTCTGCCGTACGATGAACATTACTCACTTTTAAATTTATTTCAAACATATTTTTATGATTTCTTTTCATGGTGATATTATTAATATTATTGTGATATATTTGGTTATTATTAAAATATCTAGGGTAAGTTTGTGAATTCTCTTGGTGGTGGGTGGAAATTTGATCATGAAATTGGCCATTCATTTTGTTATTTGTTATGTATTATTTAAAAAAATGGCGTTATAGTGTATTAATATTTGAACGATTTGTCGCGCAGTGTTTTCCGAAATTTTTTGGTGATCGACGTCGAAATTTCATTAATTTACCAGAAAATTTGATTCCTTCTTCTAGAAAGGAGATTAATTAATAAAATAAAAGCTATATCCATATGAAAGCTTATAGTATTTTTACTTCTTTTCAACCATTCATCAAGTTTATAAAGCAATATTTGAGGAAAACCTTAGTTTTGAAGTGAAAAGTAATGCTGATTTTGAATAGCTATAGCTTTACATAGAGAGCCCCTCTCAATACGAGAGGGGAGGATTCATTAAAAAGTTATAATGCCATAGTTTTATTTTAGATTAATAATAAAACGTTGTAAAGATAAAGAGATCCGATTGGGTACACGAATCGGAATTTTTACATATGCATGTTATTAATATTTAATATATTTATCTTTTTACGTGTCGTGCAAGTGTATTTTCCGAAAAAATTTAGTGGTCGACTTCATATTAGTATTAATATATCATGGAAATTGCAAAATTTCATGCGCATTTCATGCATTTTTTAATTAGAAAAATCACATTATATTCGGCATTACTACTTTTAACATTTTTTAATGCATTATTTATTCATTAAAAATATATTATGAGAATTAAATATTTACAAATAATTCATTTTCATCACCAGGGTCAATATCACTATTATCAACATTATCAACATTGTCATCACTATCATCATTATCGTCATCATCACTATCACCAATATCTTCATAATAATTTTATAAATAAAAATTTTTTTCATTAATGTCACGTGCAACCAATAAAATACTTTTGTTCTATAAGTGGGTCTCAAGGGGGGTGCACTTATGGGAGGGTTTACTATATTATTAGTGCTATTGTTGTTCAACCTTTCAAACTTTTTTAATTTGTTTCCAACAAAATTGAATAACTTTCTAATATTTTGTATATCCCTGAGGCCACTTTTCTATATATTATTAATATGTGAAAATAAATTCGAAAATCATGTCACATGAAGGTTTTTAAAATATCTCTCTTGTTATTTTTATAATAAAATTGAAGTATATGAATGAAATTAATCTTAGATGAATCAATGGAATAGGTTTAAGTAAATGATTTAAAAATATGATTTTCAGTAGCTTATGAAGAGAAATTGAAAAATTTGGTCAGCTGGCCCCATGAAAAATAATTATGTAGAAAAATTAGCATGGTGGACATTTGATCACCAATATACATTTCAATTGAAATTTTAAAGTAATATTTTCCACTTGTACCAGTGTTTGGAATTTCCAGTTCCAATGAGAAAATAACTGGAACTGGAACACTGGAACGTTTGGAAACATCAATAGTCCTGTTCAATTTCATTCCTGTTCTATTCCTATGATGATCTGCACTCAAAAACCTGACTAATAAAATCATTTCAATCATTCAAAATTAATCAAAAAGTCAAAATTATTTTTGACCATTTCAACTATCTGAAAAAGTCAAATTGTTTCATTTTGACTTCATGTATAATAGACACATAATTAAAAATTCTATTATTCTTGCCCCCAGCCACATGCAAAGAAATGAATTGTTATTAATGCACAGAGTTACTCTGTCAAATTTTTGCTTCAACCAAGTTAGAATCAAAGTTTCTAATTTTTAGTAGATAACATATTGATAACACACCTGATAACTTGCAGGCAGTATAGTAATTGTACTGAATATTTATTGTTTACCACAACACAATTAACAATTTTATTAATTCTGCCTGACAACCAAACAATTCAAACACTAAGAAATCAATGTGCTATACATGTATTTTCAGGTATGAAGATGCATATGAATATTGTATAAGATACATATTAAAAATCACATTTTAAAAAAAAGGCACAAGTTAACATGCAAATTTTACACTAAATCCATGACTACTACTATAATTGCTTTAGTAAAACCCATAATAGAACAATGCATTAAAATTTTAAAATCTAAGTTGCCAAATTCTTAAACACCTGCTCATTTTGAACTTCCATAAGTGACATTTCATCATTTATATCAAAAACAGGATAGCATGCACTCATGTGGACTTCTGAAAACTCCAAGTTATGCCAAAAATGTATTGCACCCAGACCCTGTCTATGTTGCTGCATTGTTGGCAAGCAGGGGTTTCCTGGAACTAAGTAGTTTTGTTCACAAGTGAAATGTACAGTCCAAATTTCACTAACAGGCATTTCCTTTCTTTTGGATTCTGCATATTGAAGTGTGTGTTGGTAATGTTCCTCCACTTTCTGCCAAGTCTCTGTGGCAACAAGTTCAATAATTGCTGCTGATTCCCTTGGATTTGTGATAATTATATCACAATATTTCTGCATGGAGCATCCATCATCAATTACACAAAGACAACATTGAGCCTCAACATAGTAATCAAGCCATTGTTTGAACCAATTGGACAATATACTTGTTAATTCCTGTT